GTTTGTTCATTAATACAATCAGTCCTGAGATCTATGTTTGTGTGTGTGTGTGAATGAGATAAAGAAGGCAGTGGATGGGAGCAGTTGAGAGAGAGAGAGAGAGGTTGGCTGGTGGAGCAACAGCCTCAAGCCAGCCAATCCAGGACCTTCAACAGCAGAGACCGCAAGAGGCACAATCAGCTGGAAAGAGGATTGCATTTCAAAATAAGGCTCATTGTGTTGCCCCTGGGTTCTGTAACTTTTCCTGCATTTTCCTTCCTGTGGCTATACTCTGTAAAAGCTAGCTAAGCCCTGTAGAGTCTCTCTTATTGATATGCACTGGATTCTACTAAAATCTGGGCAGGTTTGAGCTCCTTTCACCTGCTTGGAAAGCCAAGTGGTCTCACCCTCCCTCCCAAGGCTAACAGAACTGCAGCTGAGCCTCTTTTATAGCTCCATTGAAGCTTTGGACTTCAGGCTGTTGTCCAAATAGCATATTTCTATGGAAAATACCCCAAATGGGTGAAAGAGGGGGAAATAGGGCTCACTGGCTGATAGCTCCAAAGGCATGATTTACAATACATGTGCTCTGTGGAAGGGGCTGCAACTGTGGGCTTCCTTTTTCCTTTCAGCACCATCATAGATCACTATCAAAAAGCCTTAAAAAGTGCTGAGCACTCACATGTATCCTTTGGAAATCTGGCAGTTTTCTGGCTTTGGCAAAGCGCTATGATGTGTGTCATCTTCATACAAATTCCATAGAGAAAGGGGCAGAAAATGAAAGAAACTATTTTCCTGCCCCATTAAAAATTGGAGGACTTCCCTTCCACAGGAACCATATTCCCCATCTTTCTGAAACTTTGGAAGTCTGTTACTTATGTCCAACCCTGTGCTGTAATTTTCAGAGTAATGGTCCAAAAAGAACAGAGGAGGTTAAACATGTGATTTTTGGATGCCTTCCAGTTGCAAAGCTGCTCTTGCAAAAACTGCTTTTACCTGTTCATCCAAAATGCAGAAGCTGTGGTGCCCCCATAATAAACAACTATGCCTCCAGCTTTCTTCCAGTAGATAAATGCTATTGGCAACTGCCTTAAAGACACCCCACAAACCTTAAAGACACATAGCACAAAATCTCTTAATCTATTTATCTGCAGCTTGACAGGCATAATCCATCTTTTTGTGGTCTTATGAAGCCAAATGGTTTTGATATGGAATACACAAGTTATAGCCCTTGGTGTAATGTATATTCCATTGTAGATAGTGAGAGAACTGAGGACTCAGTCAGATGTAGGTGTTCAAGCACATTCCTGCTTTTTGTTCAGTGTGCTTCAAGTAAATCTTATTCTTTCTCCCCTCAGTTAACCTGGCTCTCTAGGTAGTAGTTGTGTGTGGGTTTTTTAAAAAAAGAAAAGATGGTAGGGCGTGCTACATCTCTTCTGTTCAGTTAAAAAAGTTTATCCAGGCTGTGTCACACTCTGAAGTCTCACCTGAGCATCTTGTAATTTTTGAAGAGGTAGCCATGTTATTCTATGCTAGCGTATCAGGCACAAATAAAAGATAAAGAGAAAAATGTTGTGGCACCTGTCCACAAAAGCTCACATTAAAACATAGCAGTTAGTCTTTAAGGTGCCACAACATTTTTGTTTTTGTATATTTTTTTATTTTGTTTTTTGCGTGAATATCTTGGACTTTGAAAAAATTGTTTGCCTTACTCCTTTCAGCTCTGTAAAAACACATATTAAAATTTACCTGTATTTCTCTTTCTGTTTAAAGAAAAGAAAAAAATTTAAGGGCCCCAGGGATCTCACTTTTTTTTTTAATGCATATCCAGAGTTACCTGGCGGTGCCAACCTGTCTCTTTAAAAAGGCTTATTAATAATTACTTGAGCATCTGAAGTTTTGTTTAAATGTTTACTAGAGCTATTTGTTGTAATTTGTTTTTTAAAACTTTATTAAGGTTTACCTTGTTCTCTGTTTTTTTAAAAACGTTTTTGCAGTGATGCTTAGCTAGTTTATGTTTCTCAAGAAAAATTGGTTACTAAAGCTTATCTGGTTCTGTTATCTGTTAAAAATGTTTGCTAAAGTGTGCCTCTCTCTTTTGTGCTTTGTAAAAAAAAAAGGGGGGGGAAGCATTAAGACAGCCCGGCCCTGTTATTCTCTGGAAGAAAAAATTTTATTAAGATATATCTAACTTTGTTGTGCTCTGGGGAAAAAAAACTCCTCTTATCAAGGCTTACCTCAATCCTTTGTTCTCTGTAAAAAATATATATATTTTCTTATTACAATTCCCATAGTCTTTAGGGCTCTGGTTATAAAGCATTCACAAGCTTCCTGCTTCTGAAAGCCAGAGTAGAGTAATTCTCTCTTCCCACTCATTCTGAAACATTAGCTATGGAAATTTAAGAGCATTTGGAGGTTGATTTAATTCTCCTTTTAGAAGCTACATTGGTGTTTTAGGACCAAACTCTCACCAGACATTCCACAGCTAAGTACCAGTAAGTGCATTTTCTCTCCTATATCTCTTGTATTCTTGTTTATCCTCTGCCTCCCATCAGTGCCAGAAATTAGCAAGCTTCTTGCCATTTAAACTCTGTCAAGACCGCATAGAGATGATACCAAGGAAACAATCATAACATAATATGTTCTCTGAACATGTAAAACCTCACTCTGCAGGGACTGTATTTTTTCCACCTAATTCCTTTGTGCTTGCCTGATCAGTAGTATTCAGTCTTGTGAAGTTCCTTGTCCCCGTGTTGCACCTGGAGGTAGAGTTCAGTCACAACCCCGCAGAGCCACCCAGCGGTGCTTCCGCCAGTGGCAACCAACTTCCGAGTTTCAAAGAACAATGTTAGCGCTTGCATTCTCCTTCACAATGAGCTGGGCTGGCTTAGAACCTCATCGTCATGGCAGCCAAAGACTCACCTTGGAATCTAGAGTGAGCAACTGCCATTGGGGTGTCAACTGCCATTTTCTGAACTGATACCCAGAAAGTGGCTTTCATGAGGTTCAATAGAAGTTGTGGGGCACAAGAGGCAGAGCTGCCAGCTGTTTTACTCACTCTGCTTTTGTGTCCTTACTGATAGACACAGAGAAATCAAACAGATGATTTTGCTGATGGAAAAGTAGTTGGTTTGAAAGCAAACATCCAAAAGAAAGACACCCATTGAGCTTGAATGTGAGTACTGTCTGATATCTTGCACCCTCACGGGATGCCTTCTGAGATATTTTGAGCTGAGAGGAACCTTTCTGAACTAGGGTTGCTGTCAGTCAACAGAGGCAATTGTTTACTTTTTACTTCAGATTCTTTCCCCCCGTGTTTTTATTTTCAGTCAGTGCTCAGTTAGTTGTTGAGATTTTGATATGAAAATGTATTAAATATTAATGTTGTATAGTTAAATGTAAAATGGCTGATTTTACCTGAGTCACTGTACTGATTGTATTCAGGTGTGGGTATCAAGGATTAAGACTTAATGTTGTACAGCTGTGGTATATGATTACACTTTGTGAAGTAATGTATTTTCTGATCGGTCACAGAACTGCACATACGTCATGTGTAAAATAAACATCTTTATCTGCTGTTCAGTCAGATCACTTTTTTCCTATGCTGTGTGTTGCTTCATGTCATGTTATGCTGCCAGAGGAATGTCTATTTTCTATGTATATATGTATATAGACTAAGTTGTTGGTTTTACTCTTTCAGTGTCATAGTGTAATAAGTATCTCTGCTAACTGTTGCCGTCTGGCAGAAGATATAGAAAAATTAGGACTCGGACCACACGTTTTCTGAATAGTTTTTATCCCAAAGCTATAATTGCACTTAATAATGAGCTTAAAGACCACCAGTAGTGAATAGTTAGTTGGACTGTGTTACTTGGCCTGCGGTGTAGATGTTTGTATTTTTACTGGGGACTTTTAGTGCGTGGGGAGTGTTGGGGGATTTTTTAGTGGGTGGGGAGTCTGGTCTCTGGATGTCTGAATTTCACTGTATGGGTATACATACAATGAAAGTACAGTGGGGTCTTGACTTGAGAACTTAATCCGTATTAGAAGGCGGTTCTCAAGTCAAAAAGTTCTCAGGTCAAATCTGTATTTCCCATAGGAATGCATTGAAAACCATTTGATCCGTATCTGCTCTTTTCCGTCCATAGAAACTTAAGGGAAAGCTGCTATTCCGCCTTTGACCACTAGAGGGGGATATTTTGTTTCTTTTTTTCTTAGGTCAAGAAAGGTGTCTTAGGTATGGAGTCAGAATAGAGTGTTCTGTCAGCAGTGTAACCAGTTGGTTAGTTAATACCATGTTTCCCTGAAAATAAGACAGGGTCTTATATTAATTTTTCATCCAAAAAACACATTAGGGCTTATTTTCAGGAGATATTTTATTTTATTTTATTTTTTTCAAATAAGGTCATGTCATCATCTTCCGGTTGCGGCACAATGGTGGAAGGCATGGTTTCACTTAACTGGGGCTTATTTTCAGGGTAGGGCTTATATTATGAGCATCCTGGGGGAAAATCATAGTAGGGCTTTATGATGATTGCCCCACATCACTCCTGCCATTCATAGTCATGATCTAATTTGCATGAGCCTATGAGAGGATTGGAGGGGCGGAGTCAGAGGATATATGAAGGTTTGGCAGGAGGAGAGAGAGTCAGTCAGAGAGAGATACAGATAGGGAGAGAGATAGAGAGATAAGAGACTGGTTTGTCAGGGAAAGAAGGAACAGATACTAATAGAGATAAAGCTGGTTAAGATAAATAGATAGAGAAGGTGGTAATTATATGGCAAGAGAAAAGTATGTATTGAGAGACCTGTTCATGATTTGCTTGTGTATAATGTTCATCTGAAGAACTTCTGTAATTATTAAATTGGCTTCACTTCAACAAATAAGTTCTGTTTGCATTCACTAGACAAGTGTTTTGACAAATTTCATTTATATGGATTATATAGGTAATCCATTGGTGCCAGTGAGAAGAAAACACGACTGGAGCCTTTGCTGGTGCCAGTGAGAAGAAAACACGATGGAGCCTTTGTGAGGACACAACATATACGTGCCACAAAGGGTGAATGTCACAAGCTTCTTTTCAGGTTAAGTCTTACTTTGGGGGAAATAGGGTACAGTAATTAAGTAAAATAAGCAGTTAAGCTCAGCAATGTAACATAAGCGTTTCCAAAATAAGATGTTTGTTTTTATATAAGAAGAAATGCAAATACACTGAAACATATTTATTCTTATTCATTGCCATGGTCTCTGAGAGAATGTATTGAAACAAATAAGTGACAGTTAATGTAAATTAACAAGTTAGTGGTTGTCTAATAAAGGGAGACTGTATTTTCAATCTGCCCTATAGGTTCCTACCAGAACCCTTTTTATCTGCTACATAATAAGAGGAAGTTTGTTAATTTTTTAAATTTAGGCCATACTCATTTTTTCCTCACACCAGACTATGCCAGCCCTAGCAAATACACTCATACAAGAGGAAATAGAGAAAGAGAGACATAATGCAAGGTCTTTAGTCATGTCTGCTTCCTAGTGATTCATTAATAAAATCTGGTCTACTAAGAGACACTCAGGCTACTAGCCAATAAAAGAAGTTTAAACAAATTGTTTTGTATCGGAGGTTCTGTCCACTGACTAAATGTGTGTCACTGTTCCTCTGTTAAGCTACAGAGTGGGGAGTCTTTTGAATTTAGATAGTTTGATGGAACAGAATAAATGTGCTCTGGGAACAAAATGATTCTGAGCTTAACTATCCCAGGAGTGTGAGATTTTCCCAGAATAAATGAGATGTGTAAGGCTCTCCATAGACCTATAAATGTATGTAATGCATATATACTTGTGGGGAAATAATCCATGTTGCATGGATGGAGACAGCTGTCCTCACAAAAGGGCTGCTGGAATTGAGTTCATTATTTAGGGTAGAACCAAATGTTATCTGAGCACCAAACCTTGTTTGCTGACATAACAGGAAAGAGCGTGTAGGGAAAGGGCACCTTGAAAGAAGAGAGTTGACCGCTCCTGCTCTTCTCATCTACAGTAATGCCCCCTTTCCATCTAGGGAGACTCATTTCTGCTTTCAGAGCCTGGCTGAGGAGAACATCCTTTAAAAACATCCATTCAAAGAGTGGAGAGGATTTGCAGAAAAGAAGCTGCGGAAACATAGAAAGCTTTGGGATGGATGGTACGAAAAGCTGCAACACACGGGGCAACTGGGTTTGAGAGCTAGTGGTGTATTATGTTCAGAGAGCTGGAGTAGGCGATCTAGGTTTTAGCCCTAACCAAGTGACCCTGGACCAGTTGTTTTCTCTCAGTTTGACGAACCTGACAGGTTTATTGTGAGGATAAAGTGCGAAGAAGAGTCATGTATGTTGCCTTTAGTTCTGTGAAGGAAAGGTGGGATAGAGATAGAATAAACAAATATATTTATTTGAGGTTACCCAGAGATTATTGTGTGAGTGTACGTCTTTTTATTTATTCACAAGTAATTATCCTCTGGAGTTCTCTCTCGTTTATGCAGGTTCCTAGGGATTTAGTAGAATGAAACATATTTTGTTCTGAAGGAGACAGCATCCCAAATGTGGAGATATACGATGTGGAGAATTTCTAAACTTTAGCTGGGGAGGACATATAATAATTAGGACCTCATTCAGTTTACTGGTTGAGCTTAATTTTGACAGGTATCATAGGTTGTTACAGCACTATGGATTTGTGAAAATGAGTGGGAAACTATCCTGTTTATGCTGTGTAAAATTTCAGAAAATGCCCATGTTTTCCAGAACAAAATACAGGGGGAAATGTGTGTTTTTTTCCTGGAAAAAAATACAGAGGGGGAAATTGTCCCCCCCCCGGGAAAAAATGTATATATGTAAAGTTGTCAAGACTGGATTAGAATGGAATGGAAACTTCCATTTCCCCAAGGCAAAAATTCCCTCCCCCAAGGAAAAAATCAAAATTTTCTGAAATTTTACATCTCTAATGTTGAGTTTAATTTGATTTTATTTAGAGAGCACGCATGTTGTCAAGGTCTCTTTCTGAGGGTCCTTAGCTGAACCAAACAACCAAAAACTTAACCTCTTGCTGTATACCTGTAGATTGAGGGAATGGGCAGATTCATTGATGTGCTTCGGCTGTGCCAACGTGACAAAAAATAACCTACCAAATTATCTGAAGATTCTTCAGTTACAGTAGTGCCTCACAAGACGATTGCCTCGCAGGACGATTAATGGTTTTTGCGATCGCTGTGGCACTTCGCAAGACGATGTTTACTATGGATGATTTTGGCAAGATGATGATTTTTCCCCATTGGAATGCATTAAATAGATTTCAATGCATTCCAATGGGGAACCGCGTTTTGCAAGATGATGTTTTCTATGGACGATTTTCGCAAGACAATTTCCCCCCCATTGGAACACATTAATTATATTTCAATGCATTCCAATGGGGAACTGTGTTTTGGAAGACGTTTTCACAAGACGACGTTTTTTGCGGAACAAATTAACATAGTCTTGCGAGGCACCACCGTACTTAATTTTGTACAGTCAGAGCAGTGAAAATACCTCTACCTGGGGATCACAATTATTATGTTACGGGTCATCCTAATTCTATACTACGGGATGCATTTTGTTGTAGTTGCAGCTGCATGCCAGCCACGGAAAGAAGTAGTGAAAATGTCCATTTCAAAACTAAGATTTTTTTCTTTAAAAATAAAAATCCAGAGTCAATAATGCTTCATAAAGACATTTGTGCTCCTTTTATACAGACAGCCTCTGCCTTCAAATATGGAACCACAGGATAACATCTGATGTTTGGCTGTGGAGCTTTTGGCAGTGAGGTTCTGACAGTTCATAAGGCTGAGTGGGGCTGGCGTTCTTCCTTTGAAAACATCTCCCATTCATTGGGATTCCTGTGTTGTGGTAAAAAAAAATCTGTGCATTCAATATAGTAATAGATATTTTCTCAAGCTACTAGGAAGTGTGGTCTGAAAACAATTGGGAAAGAACTCACCATAACTCCAGATTAGATCCAAAAGGACTTGGACTCCATCCTCTCGCCCTGTTACTCTCATCAAGACAGAGAATTTTATACAGGAACTAGGACCAGATGCTGAGCTGTTTTTCAAGTCTACTGTCCAAGTTTTAAAATATGTATTTCAAATACCACATCCAGTGTATTATAACTGAGAGACAGTGATTACTATGTACCTTCACCTTCCTCACCATGCATGCTGGCAACTGTGAACCTTTACCCTGTATGGTACCAGCAGCACAAAGCATCTGTAAAACAATACTCATCAGTCGTAATTTATTCAAGAAGACTATTTATTCAAGAAACAGTTTTTGTACATGTGTGTTTTGGGGAATCTTCACCTTCCTTAGAAAACTATAAGCTGTTCCTCCATCAAGGGCTGGCCCAGAAATTTTTTTGCTGTTGAGGCAGAGCATCAAACAGCATCTCCAACTGAAGTCAAGGTGCAAAGTACAGAGGTGCCCCGCATGACGACGATAATCCATTCCTCTGAAATCGCTGTTAAGCGAAATCATCATCATGCGAAAAACAATTCCCCATTGGAATGCATTGAAACCCATTTAATGCGTTCCAATGGGGAAAATACCTGGTCATCCAGCGAAGATTGCCCATAAGGAAGCCATTTTCCGAGCGCCGATCAGCTGTTAAAATGGCTGCCCTGCAAAGCATGGGTCTGGAAAACACAGGGCAGCCATTTTAGGAACCCGACGATCAGCTGGAAAAATTGTAGTCTTGCGAACAAACGGTTCATATGGACCTAATCGTCGTGAAACGAAAATCCCCCATTGAAATGACTGTTTTGCGAATCGCTATAGCAATCGCAAAAAGTCATCGTCCTGTGGATTCGTCATTTAGCAGGGTTGTTGTCATGCGGGGTACCACTGTATCCAGATCAAGCAAATGATCTGGGCGCCTCAGGCAGGACTTTCCACAGGCACCTGTCTTTATATTTGCAAATTAAATAACTGGATTTGCAGCCTTTCCCAGCAGGCAAAATCTGCTGCAGAAGACAGTCACTGACTTTGCATAATGTTAAGGCCCTTTCAGAGAAGCTCAATCAGCAGAGAAGCACCTGTGAAAGGCAGTTTACTCACTCAGCCAAACATCCTCTGCAACACAGAGATACAGGAAACAGACAAATGTTCTCTAAGCACATTCATAGTTCATGAAGAGCAACTGTGATGCCATTCCGGCTGAGCTGTGGTTGTGCATGAATTGAATGTGTGTCCGGCAAAGTTTCTCAGATCAACAAAGGAAAGATTCCTTTTATTTTCAGATACATCTAAAACTATCTTACTTCTTTTCAGGTGAAACTAGCCCCTACCATTCTCCTTCCTCCCCAGGATTAGTTGGAAAACTGTGTCCCACTTTGGGCACTAGTTAGAAGATTTGAAAACTGATGGATTAGCCCAGTGGTTCTTAACGTGGGCGATAATGCCCCCCAGGGGGCGATTTCATTTTTCAGGGGGGCAGTAGAACGAAAAGGGGCGGCGTGGGGGCGCTGGAGCAGAAGGGGGGCAGTAGGGGGGCCCTGGAGCAAGCCAAACCTGTGAAGATGGCTGCAGCCTTTTTACAATGTGCATGAATATATATTTTCCTCCTATCTTAATTTAGTTCCAGCGTTTTCGTCTTGAAATTTTTAGTTCCTGCATTTTATGGCCTTTTTATATTTTTTTTGAGTCTTAAAATTCGCTTGCAACTAAATCATTAAATGTTACTTTTGGGGGGCATTTCATTTTCTTGGAATTGAATGTTGTTTTCAGGGGTCACTGGATTTAAGTGTCTTAAACAAACAAACAAACAAACAAACAAATAAGATATAATAAGAAATAAGAGGGGGGTGATGATAACTTCCTCAATGGCTCAAGGGGGCATTTCTTTCAAAAAGGTTAAGAACCATTGGATTAGCCTGCCGGCTTTTCAGGTTAAGACTTGCAAATGGTACTGAACATTGTTACACCATTCAGATGCAAGAGAGACTCAAGACGTTAAGAGGCAAGAAGGGGCTGACACAACGTTTTTGTGCTGCAGCTGGGCACTTCGTACTGGCTGAAACCAGCAGGGCTCCCTGTATATGGGTCTGCTTGTGTATCTGTGTGTTCCAGAAAGAAAAGAAGGAACTAATCCCACTTCTTTTTTTTGTTTCTCTTTTTCCATTCTAGAGCTGAGCAACAGTTTCAGCCAAGTAGGATTTTAAAAAACAACACGCATGAACACACCTGCCATCCAAAACCACAGCTTAAGGTCTGCCCCAAAAGAAATGTTCCACAGTTGTGAGAAAGCAGCCCAGCCTTGGATGCTGGATAGAAGAAGGGGGCGATAAAATGCATAGAAGCACTAACAAGGCAGTGGGGCACAACTGCACTCCCTCGTTCCCCACCTCCAGCTCATGTCTGGTCTTTGCGGGCTGCAGACAGCTCCCCTGTCCTTGTGCTTCAGAAAGGCCTGCTGAACAAAGCTGAAGCCACCAGAGAAACATCAGAAACAAGATAAAGACAAAAGAGGGTGTGGAATCTCCTCAATTTCTGGATGCTTGCCAGTTCTCTCCCTCACCCCCCCCCATGCCATTCTTCAGAATAAAGTAAGCCCCAGTGGTTTCTGCTCTGAATTGACAAGGCATGGCTGTTCTGAATGAATGCTGCATCATGTACCCGAGGCAGCGCTAAACTAGTAACATTTTTTAGAAATTAAAAATTCTAAGTAGTGCCAACTCTAGGGGTACAAACCTGATGAAGTAATGGCAAACCATCAGAGCCCACCTCAATGAGACATTACCCTCAATGTGATCAGGGAACACCTTCCCACTGCTCCAAAGGACCACTAGGTACACTCACACAAATGGATAGAAGAACGCAAGTGAAAATGCTACCAAAAACATACAGAAGATCACTACCACAATGGAAGCTTTGCCAGCTGAAAAAAATATGCCAAATACCCATGGAAAAGATTGCAATTAAAGGTGTGATCAGTCAGAGAAATAGCTCGCATTTTGGACCACTTGTGGCATAGTCTAATACAAGCTATTTTCCAGCGATTACACAACATACAGAAGCTTGAAAATACCCTTAAAGGTCATTTAAAGGGAGAATGCCCTCAGCAAACTTACTCTTTCTAGTGCAATCAGACACAATCTTTACTTACCATCCGATTGAACCCTAAGTGTATGTCATGTAATAGATAATAATTATGTGCCAACAAGTCATGTAGTTGATGGGGAAAACCATCAAAATTAACAATGAGAACTGCGGTGCAAACAACAGGTCAATTCTTTGTCTAGTTATGTCCTTAATTCCAACAGAGGTATCTGCATATCCCCATATAATAAGTAGTAATATGATAGAGAAAAATAAAATTTTATTTATATTTACAGTATGTATTTTCGTGTTTGTTTCCTTCAGGCCAAAAGGCAGAATACCAATGCAGAAGTGTACAGACTTCCGTATCTTGGAAGGCGAACATACATATCAAGAAATACTATGTTCTGCCCTGTCGAAACAACTATTCTTAATTGGGGAAGCAAAGGAAAAATAGTGGTTCTTTCTAAGTTTTTACTACTAGCATTCTCTAGTCAGACTATTGAACAGGAGCAGCATACCTAGAAAAGCAACAGATTGAAAGAAAGATGCAGCTTACCACAATTGATCAGAGAGACATATTGTATAAAGCAAAGGGCTTTACAGATGATTGAGGTAGGCCAGGTTCCCTAAGCTAGTGTTTCTGAGTACTAGGGGGTATACAATAAATTGGTTCAGAGGAAAATAGTCCAGGCAGCAAATGTTTGTGCTTTGCAGTTTTTGAATGTAACAAAAATGACTGAAATGAGACCGACACTAAGTTCTGTCCATTTAAGTGACAGGATCCATTTAAGAACATTACATGGAATCTGCCCTTCCTTATTGCTTTGGTCTTTTGCTTGCCCCTCAGTGTCATTGTTGTAACCATAAAAATGCTACACAGCTCTGGAAAAAATTGAATTTTGGGGATTGATGCTCAAGTCTGTTGCTTTAGGAGAGAATCCCTGAAGGGGCTTGTCTGGACTCTAGAAAGTATATTGAACAACCTCTCACACAATAGGTTAAGAATCTCATTCATTAATTCTCTTGGCAAACTAATACTTAAGTAAGCAAGACTGGAAAAACTAAGAACTACTGAATTATTACCCAGAGTCAAATGGTGATAATGCAAGAACCACATTTGTTTTTCACTTTTTAAAAAAAACCTGCAAAAATTAATATAACTAGCACATCAGTTACTACTTCAGCTAAGTATTGTATTTTTCCGTGTATAAGATGCCCCCATGTATACCCCCCCCACTTTCTAACCCCAAAATAAGAAATCTAAGTGGGGCTTAGCAAGTGTAGGGGGAAAGGGATCAAAGCACTGCAGGATCGCTTTGATCCCTGCTTTCTCCCTTCATGCTAAGCCCCGTGGGGCTAAGCCAAAGGAGGGGAAAGGGATCAAAGCAATCCTGCAACTGCACAATTGTTTTGATCCCTTTCCCCCTTATACAGCCACAGGATTGCTTTGATTCTTTCCCCCTCCTTTTGTTAAGCCCCATGGGACTTAGCAAGCAGAGGGGAAAGCAGGCATCAAAGCGATCCTGCATCTCTTTGATCCCTGCTTTCCTTTTGCTAAGGATTAGCAAGTGGAGGGGAAAGCAGGGATCAAAGCCCTGCAGGAACAATTTGATCCCTGCTTTCCCCTCCACTTGTTTTTGTACTCTCCTCAGCTCACTTCCGTGTATAGGAAAACCCTCAATTTTTAGTCTAAAATTTTTAGATAAAAGTATAGTCTTATATATGGAAAATATGGTATATGACTTTCCCCTCCTTCAAAAAGGAAATATGGCATGGAAAACTTCTACATCCACTTGGGGGAAAATGTAAGAATATGACACCTTGGTCAAAATCTTCTTCCGCAACTGTGCACATGCAACTTCAGGTTTAATCCACAGTAGTTGTGTAGTGACTGAGATGGAAGTGTGGCACTTCCATCACTACATCACACAGTTTGTCATGCTGGAGATATGTGACCAATTGCCCAACTGCATAGCAGAATTCTTTGTTGCCAGGCATAATGACCAAGGTGTCATATTCTTCCATTTATGCATAAATGTACATTATGCTGGCCAGCGTACACAGCCTTTCAGTAGGTGGATAGCCAGTGCTTATCTGTTTTAACAATGCATACCCTTTAAACGGGTGATGGCTATGAAGCCCAGAAACAACCACAGCATATTGCAAAGAGTTAGATGGGTATGGAAAGCCTTCTTTTTCCTCAGCTTTCACAAATCTATATTGGTCTAATTATAACCTATCAGTTTTGACAAACATAAGAAAAGAAGGGAGGTTTGCTAACAATTCATCTCCATAGAACATCCATGTGCCAAGTTGTGAGGCAATCTATAGCACACATAATATTACAGTCTCCTTGGTGATATTATCTCAGACTCTGCTGACCAGGGCTATAACTAGGATAGAGCAAATGAGGCTTTGTTCCAGAGCGGAATGTTCTTTGAAAGGATGTGTTGCAAAATGTGCTTTCTTTAAATACATCTAAATTAACATTCCTCTTTTCTAGTTTGGGATCTCACAAATTTTGAGATGAATCCTTTTACTTTGAGGTCAGCCACATTTTTATAAAGTGCTCTTTGTGAAACTACGAAGATGAGATTTTAAAAGGGAAAAGTCATAGGAGCAAGTTTACAATTCTAGACTAAGAGTGCAGCTACATGGGCAAACATTTTGCTCCACTTATGCAATAGGTGAATTCAAAGTATTTTTTTTATTGACTGCATAATACAAAGACTGATTTGAATTGGCTTGGCCCTTTTTGTTTCAAAAGTGGCTCCCCCGTGTTGCTTCGGGATTTCTGCTTTTTGAAGCTGAAACAATTCAGACAGGCTTTCTCCCATGCAGTTAGTTCGAATAAATTCTTGTAAAGATAGTGTGTGTGTCTGTAGATGATGTTTTGGTGATATGGGCAAATTGAGGCATGATTTTCAGGCCCAGTGGGACATGTAAAGGCAAAGCACCATTATCTAATGTGGGGATCAGGTGCTCATCCTGAATCCTATCAAACAGTAAGTGAGAAGGATCTTTTATTGTGAAGAAAAGGTCAGTGCTGTTAATTACTTGACAACTTTTAAAATGGACTAGTTTATCATGCCAAAAGTTTAAAACCATATGTGACCAGATATGAGGTAATTCCTGTATGAGTACTGTGAAAGCAAGGGGAAAAAGTAACGGATGGAAAGGGGAAAGTTGTGATCCTAGTTAAGGAATCATTCTGTTGTGTTAATTATGATGTACAGTATTTTACAAAAATACTGTTCAATCTTTTAATGTTCTGTACTCTTAGACACTTAGATTTTTAAGTATCTTTCAATGTTGTTTATAGAAAAAAAATTCAGAAATGTAGTAGCCTGAAGCTTTAAATGAGAAAGTGGCTTCATAGAAAAACTTAAGAGAATCAGCAGAGGCTGGACCAGAGGAAGGAAGGAAAGAAAGGTGCTGTGGGTTGGAATGTGACTTGCATCACATCCTATGTGAATGGTGAACTCCTGCATCAAACCACAGCCCTATATGAGCACTGATAGTGATTTCAAATGTAATAAGGGCTGCAAATCAAATTGCAGCAAAGCAATTTGGTTCAGCTTTCTAGTGTAGTTGCACCCTAAGTTCCTTCCTTTAAATCTTGCAGCTTTAAACACTGTTCTTTATCTCAGGACATTTTGAATGATGCTGGCCATAAATGTCCATGACATCTCTCCAGTTCTGTTGTTTCTTAGGAATCAGTTATTGAAATATACTCAACATTTCTTCCGTGTCTTTACAACTTTACTGTAATACCTGACCGGAATCCCAGAAGACCCAATGAGATAAACATCAAACAAGTAGACAGTCCCTGCTTCAAGTCCTCTGATGGTTTCTGTTGTCACTGCTCGCTGTAGATTAAGTTCATGGAAATATTTACAGAGGACTTTGTCACCTCTTTGCCTTGCCTCGGGTCCTGAGCACCTGTCAGCATTCCTTGTTTCCATCCAGACCTGGTCCTCCTCAATCTGTTTCTTGTATACACAATACTTGTTCATTTGCTGTGTTCCTAGCCAAGCAATGGTCACTGAATCACACGTCCTCAGCTTGCTAAAGGATTTGATCTTTAAACTCTCCGGGAGAACTGGGAAAAATGGTTTGTGAAAGAGAGACGACACTTGCATCTTCACAGAGGCATTTGAAGGCTCTGTAGACCCAACATGCACCAAGTAGGTGTCACCCAGTCTTCCCTTCAGCATGAAGTGTCTCAAGCCAGCAAAGCTCTCTGACATCAGCATTTTCCCATCCTTGGAGATTTCAACTCGTACTTGGCCCCTGCAAGATTGAAAGGCAAACTGGATCTGTTTCTGCCTCGCCCGATACTGTAAATTGTAGAATGTTTGTTTTCTCCCATCCAGAGTGAGTTGAATCACTTTCCCATCCCTCAGGTCAGTCACTTTTGGCTCAGGTTCTTCAAGAGTCCGGGCAAAGGTTCCAGTATAAGCAGCACTGGTGTTGGTGAGGAAGTTGACCACAAAGACATCAAAGTAATACTGAGTATTGGGAGTAAGGTTGGGCACTGTGTACTCATTTTTGGTGCCAACACATATCTGCCTTACCCCATCATTGCTAGCTTTGGTAGTGATACTTAATTCACCACTGGACAATATCACTGCTTGCTGAGGGTTAAGCAAGGGTCCTCCTGGAAGGGCAGCGAGCACCAGTGCTTGTGGTGCTTTCTTCCCAAATGATCTTATAGCCGTTTCTGCTGCACATAAACTCTTGTAGTTGTGTTTTTCATTAACCAGAAGACAATACTGGATGTTCTCTTTGTACTGCATGGCTGTTGGGCTGTGCTTCCAAGCTAGAGTGACTGTGGTATGACCAATCCCAATGACATCTATGCGTGGATCTGTCGGGAGTTCTGGATACAGGCGTTCAGAAGTTATGTCAGTAGTTAGATACACTGTAATGTGGGTGTCTCTTTCAATGGACAGGAATTCAAACATGTAGACAGCAGAATAGTAAGAGGTCCCTGTGTAGGTTTCCACAGAATTTCCTCTGTAGCTAAAGAGAGTTGATATCATCCTTGTGGTCTTCTGAAACTTTAGGGGATCCTGAATGTCTAAATGATCTGTCAATGAAATGTAGATATATAAAGATTATAAGTCTTGCTTAGAGGGAAGGAATGAGCTGACTTAAGTAACAGGTAGTGGTCTAGTGGTTAAATTGTAAGTACAGGTGTTTATTGTGACAGTTGCCTTAGCCATGGCAAGGAGAGTGCAGAAATACATGAAGTGATGTCAACCTATATCAACAAACCTGTTGTGCTACTCCTCATTTCCACGAGGAGAGGCTAATGTAAAGCTAATGGGGCTTAATTGCCAATTCAAGACCAAACCATGAAAAAATGGCCTGGTTACATGAACTTTTCCTTTGGTGAATCTGAGACTTTTGCTATCTGAGGTGGAGTAGAAAACTGTACTGTTCCCGCAAGTCATGGTGCCTAGTATCCAAACCCAGCCAAGGAGTTTGTGCACATGAGGCAGAAAGTCCCACAAGCCCCTCTTTTCATGTCTGGCAATAAAAATTGTAAAAATTGAATAAATAAAAATTTGATGCTCTTTCATTGTACTCCAAAATCTACTGCCCTAGGCAGTCATTTCCTCCTATTCTGTTGTAGGGCCAGCTCCATTTTTGAAAGTAGCATATGATGTGGTGGTGGGGGGGAGGACTTAGGTTCTGATACCTCCCCATCTGTCATTGCAAGATCCAAAGGCAAAATGATTTCCATTACTGAGATTGTATCAAAAAGAGTAGACCAAATGCTTGTTTACAGGGCAGAGAGCTGTCTCTAAAGTCTGTTATTCCACCCATTGACTTCCAAAAAGCAAAATGGCTATACAGTGGTGCCCCGCAAGACGATGATAATGCATTCCACTGAAATCGCCATTTAGCGAAATCATCGTCTTGCGAAAAGAGTTTCCCCATTGGAATGCATTGAAACCTGTTTAATGTGTTCCATTGGGGAAAATAGTCTTTGTTGAGTGAAGATTGCCCATAGGGAAGCCATTTTAAATCGCTGTCTTCCGAAGCACCCTAGGGAAGCCATTTTGCGGAGCCGCCGATCAGCTGTTGAATTAAACTGAACAATGGCTAGCTGCCCCTGCAAGCCTCATGTTGCTGATAGCCCCTGGTAGAAGGAAGCTCCTCCATGTCCACCTGGCCCCAGTTAATGCCCACGGGACCTCCCCTCTCAACTCCGTCCAGGGGACTCCCGTACCGTGGTGAAAGGGAGCCGGCAAAACAAAGGTGACCTCCCTCTCTCCTCCCCCAGGCAGGGGAACCCTTGCTCAGAGCTGGAAGGGAGCTCCTGAGTGCGCACGTGGCTGGCAAAAACAAAGGGGACCTCTCCCTCCACGTCCCAGCAGCCCATGCCCTGATGGTGAAAGGAACGTCCTTCTGCACAGAGAGGGGGAAATCCCCAGGGGCTTCCCCCGCCCCACCGAAAGGGCAAAACTTACGGCTAAAAGCTTCTGGGGAGGGAATTCCTTCTGCTATCAGCCTGGGAAAAACCTTGCTGTCGCTAGCTTCCCAAGTAGCCCAGGTCGTCCCTGAAGCCACTTGCGACCCCCCCCGCTCCCCAGATGCACCTCCGCTAAGCGCCAATTGGTGTGGGAGGGGAGGGAAGCCAAGAGGAGGCAGGGAGCCGGCGCGTGCTTCCTGCTCGGGTGACGAGAAGCAGCCAAGAAATCCTAGACTTGCTTGCTGTCGACGTGTAGGGAAGCAAAAGGGGAAGAGGGGAACCAGTGCGCGCTGTCCCGCTCGTGTAAGGAGGTAAGGGGAAATCCTGGGCTTGCCTCATTGTGCCAGGAAGCCCCGTTAGTCCACGAAGCTGCTCGCAATGCCCCCCACTCCCCAGCCGCCCCCTCGCTGCCGCCCCTATGCCTCCGGTAAGCGTCGCTTGGTGTGGGAGGGAAGCCACCCCCATAAAACAACCCCCAAGTGCCTAGAAATACCAAAATCACAGAGACACTTCTATTGACCCTCCTCTACAATCCTTCCAAGTTTGGTGAAGATTAGGTTTCAGACATCCAAGTTATACAACCGCAAAGTGGGGCCCCCAAGAAAGTGCCTTTTCGCAGCTAGCTTGGGGAAACTCAATCTTCACTCAATCTTCACCAAACTTGGATGGACTGTAGAGGAGAGTCAGGGGAAGCTTGCCTGTGATTTTGGTGTCTCTAGGTGTCTGGAAGGAATTTTCCTGGGGTAGCCCTCTTTGTGCGTGTATAACTCAGTCTGAAACTCAGTCTCTACCAAATATGGAGGAACTGTATTGGAGAGTCAGGGAGAGCATCTCAGCAATTTTTGGTGTCTTTAGATCTCTAGAGGGCTGTTTTCTAGTCAGATGAATTTTAAAAATTTATTGATTCATATTCATTGGGAACATTGATTTAGACAAATACAAGCTGATAAATTAGCAATTTTTGATGAATTTTGCAGTTCATTTTTAAATTTGTGCCCATTTTGGACAAGCAGCTATGATCATATTTCAACTGGAAAGAACCAATGCGAAAAAAATAATCTCTGGTTTCTGTGCCTGCTTCTAGATTTCATTGGTGCAGGTAGATATCATTTACAGGTTTTGCTCTTATCCCTGTCCCTGTCCTTTAGAAAACACATCACAACTCCAACAAGGAGACATTGAGTTATCTGCCCCTACTAACCTTGATGCAACAGTGTCTTTATGTTCCATTTCTCAAGGAATCACTCCAGGATTCCTGAGAAATAGATTTCAATTTCACTTCTTGCTCCAGCAAGCAGAAACCTAGCCTTTTGCTTTCTCACCTATAGGATAAATGAGACTCAGAATACTAGGCATATTATAGATATTTGGATTTGGATATTTTTGGAACTATCTGCATATGCCAACATTTGGTGAATCTTGAATATTAAGAATGTGTATTCCCAAATCTGAATGCCTATCCCTATTATTTGGTGCCTTTAAATTTTGCTTTAAAACAACAACCCAGAAGTGAATTGTGCCCCATATCATTTGATTCATGCTCTGAATAGAAATCAACCTGGAAATCTCCTTTACTTCATCCTGGAACTGAATTGGGTCATTTCATTTTGACCTGGATCTCATGCAGATTGGTCCCAAACAGACCAATTTGGTTCTGAATTTGTGATTTCCCAAATCTGGCACATAGTCATACATCTTACCCTGTGCTGCTTTCCCAAAGTAATTTGTTGTAGTCTTATGAACTCGTATGCTCCACTCGATGGGGACATCACATGGAGTCACTATTACTGTGAGAGGTGCAGAGGTTCTCCCTTCCTCTAGAACAAAATAGTATCTGGAAACAAAATAATAAATCAAACAAAAGTTTACTGAGGCTCACTTTATAGTACAGTAAGCCAGATAAAACACATGGAGCTGTATTGCACTGTAGACAATAATGATATTTTACAACTTGAGACGAGGGTCACCTCTACTATGATACAGTGTGGCGCCTGCCTCAGGCAGTAGTTTTTTTGGTGCTATGAAAGGGCAACACATTGGGAGTTATTTATTATGATTGTTTAAAAAATTTTCTGTACAGGAAAGAAGATAAGAGAAATTGGTGAGCTTTTTGCCACAGGTACCAGCATGGAAAAGTGTGAAAGAAAGAAGAGAAGGGGGCGACAGAGGACAAGATGGTTGGATAGTGTCATTGGAGCAACCAACATGAACTTGACCCAACCATGGGAGGCAGTGGAAGACAGGAGGGCCTGGTGCTCTGGTCCATGGGGTTCACCAAGAGTCGGACATGACTTAACAACTAAACAACAACAAACCAGCATGACGGGGTGGGTGGGTAGGTTGCTGAATACCTTTACTGGGAAAGGGCAGGTGCAAATGCCATGTACTTCTCTGTCTTGAACTACGAAAGGTATCACCACCCTCAGCACCAACCTTGGGCTGCTATTTTGCACCTTGTTTTCATTGGTCTCACATAAAGGCCAAGGGTTCCCTCCCACAGACCCAGACCTACATTTAGCTTATATTGAACGGCCCGTCTGCCAGGCTGCTTGGTTATCTTTGGCCTATTGTTCTTAAAGTACAAAAAGCAAACCGCTCCAGTGCTTCCAGAGAAGCCTAGGTTTTTGTGGGAGATGTAGTTCTTTGCAGGAACCTATAATAGAACCTATAGGGCAATATGACAACAACTCCCATGAAGACCTAGACCTCCCAGAAAGCACCTGGAAAGTTTTTTTAAACATTAACAACAGTAGGCGGAAGAAAGCTTGAGATAGTCAAGCAATGTGAAAAGTCAGCCTTCTTCCAGGTTAGTAAAATATCAGTGTCCGTATCAGTGTGTTTGTGAGCTTTGATTTGGAGTCCAACATATACACACAGAGCATACCCCTTCTGCTTTCTTCTGGGTTGCTCTTTCTTTCACACAAAGAAATAAATTTGAAAGGAATAACTTTACAAAATGTCCCAAGACAGGATTGTGGTTAGGTTTGTCCAAACAAACCAGTATTGGAAAGATAGGAACATACCCTGGTTTAAAGCTGACATTGCCGTTTGTCCACCTATACTTAACTATCATTCCCGAATCAGACAACATATAAAGCTCCCCTCTTCCTTGTTGCTTTTCCACTTGTATAAATAGGAAATCAGGTACTAGCACATACCATGTTCACATTGTGTATCAGGATTCATGAGTTACCACCAAGTGGAAGCATGGCCACTGTGTCTCACCTGCAAGCATTTATTTCATGGCTCTAGGATTGTTAACACTTTCCATCATCCCCAGCTAAGATGACCAAGGGCTATGCTTTTTGGATCATGATGGGAGTTGTAGACAAACACACTGCGATAGAGCATACCTTATTTGGGAAAGGCTAGTCCAGCTGTAGGATAGCAGAAGTCATTTTTAAACTTTGCAATGTTTCTCTGCATTTATATTGCTTTAAATCTATAGGCTAAACCTACTGCTTAGTCCCTGTTAGATTATATCATTGAATGAATGGGATTTTTAAAAGTCACCTCTTTTGTAAGTGTCATTGATTAAATGCATCTACTCTGGTTGGGAGAAACAATTGGATTCATCCTACCGTGATTCTTTAATTCTATGCGGATCTGTTTTCTGAGAGAGGAGACATATTAATACAGGAAAAAAGAACCCTGAAGGATATTTTCATCATTGTTTGTAATGCAAGATACAGCTTTAGACCTGCATACTCATAAAAGAGAATAATTTTGTAAATGTTTGAAACAGGGACCAATTATTTTTAATTAAATCTCAGTTGCTGTAACCGAGAACAGAGGCAATAGGTTAAAACCACAACCAGTTAACCCCGTCTATATTTTTACTATTCTCGTGACAGTTTTCAACTCGTTCTTGCAGTCTGGTTATACATTAAGCAATTTGGTGTTTGGTACAGTGCCTGTGGAGGAATTCTGTAAGGTGACTATGGCTGAAAGGAACCATCTGGTTTAATCTCTGGAACTATTGTGCAGGATTCTTCATAAACGAAACCAAAATAAAATAGAACTTCAGGTTCTGGTGCACAGAGCTATTATTTGTTGAAATCAAACAATACAATAACATCAATTAAATCTTCTATTTCTACTTGTAAATTCTGCTATAAAATACCATCTTATATCCTAACCCGCAATTGGGAGTGGTGATGTTCTGGATTCCAGCAGCTAACTAAACTTTTCACCAAATACTGGAGGTATTTATTTATTTATTTATTTTATATCCCGCCTATCTAGCCGATCAAGGCCACTCTAGGCGGCTTACAACAGTAGCAGTAATAATTGATTTTTTGTTGTTATGTACTATCAAGTTGCCTATAGCAATGCGGTGACTCCAACAGGGTTTTCAAGATACACGAGTTCTTTAAGGAGTAGTTCAGCATTGGCACTCCCCAGTGAACTTCTATGGCTAAGTGGGGTTTGAATCCAGGTCTTCTGAGTCTTGTTCCAGTATTCTAATCAGTATATCATACTAGTTTTAAAGTTACTTTTAAAAAATTAAAGAAAACGGCATTATTAAAAATTAAAAAATATAAAAAGGCCCCCAAATGGATAAAAATTCCAATTATGGCCACCCATGTTTTGAAATGTTACTTATTACTTTAAAAACGTTGATATATTAATAATGTTGAAATTAGAATGTGACAGAGGTGCTGCGTTACCAGACTACGCCAGGGGGCATAATGGTGAAGTGAACTGCCCAGAGATGAAACCAAACAGACACTGTTGTAGTGTTGAAAGTATTATTTACATTAAAGTCCATATATACAGGGGTAAATACAGCTTCTCTTGGTCTTTATACAGTCCTGGTCATTCACAGTAGTTCTTCAGTTAGCAATGGTAAATTACAGTTTCAGTAACCAAATATTGTTACCAATATAAAGAGTCCAGCATCCACGAAGTCTTCTCCTTTCACCACGGAGATAGTCTTCCTCCAGGATCTTCTCCTTGCAATATGGCAAGTCTTCATCCAACGATGCAGTAAATACAGCTCTCAGCAACATACACGACCACCAGCAACACAACAACCCAACACTATCCAACAACCCAACTACCCAACAGTTCAGCTCTGAAAGCTTGGCTAGCTTTATTCTTGGATCAGCCAATCAAATTTGGTTGTCACACAGCTGTCTCCATTAACTCAGCTGTGCTCCTTTGTTACATGTTGCTTGACTAAATCTGATCCTGTAACAACTTATACACTGAATTGCAATGAACAATTCCCTAGGTTGACTTTGAGACCTGTCAGAATGTTTAAAAATAATGGAACTTACAGCTTGATACTTAATAAAGAAATTGCAAGTAATAGCATTACTTTTGGCACATTAGTTTCAGGCTCTGGAGAGATCACATATTCTTAAGCTGATTTCATGCAAGCTGATTTATTGCCTCTCTGTTCCTGTTGGAGGGATCCCCCCAGCAAAGATGAAACCAATAGGGAGGAAGAACCCCTCAGCTACACAGACCCTGGACTCTTGGGAACCCAGGAACCGAAGTCTGTGGGTAACAAGGGCACAGGAGCTGAGTGAGAGGAGGTCATGGGACATCCCTCAAGCCCTCAGGAATGAAGACAGGTGAAGGCACCAACACAGCATGAAGCCCAAGACAAATTGCTCAGCTGTGGGAAAGACTCCTTGAGAGAAACAGCCTCCTCAGGGGTTTTCTCTCAGAGAGACCCAAGGACCAAATCCTGCAGCTGCAACCTGGTGGCTGCTCTGAGAAGAGAGGCTAGACTAGCTCTTTCTTTGTTGTCAAACAAACTCGAAACATCATTGTCAATAGCTCAGTTACCTTGGATGACAAAGATTAAAGCTTTTGCTTTGAAAAAGTTCTCTATGATTATTGCATATCTGTTTTTTTTTAAAAAGGAAGCATATCATACAAGAGCATCACTGTGTTATTTATCATGTGGGAAGATTAAAGGTCATATGAGTTTCCCCTTACCTTTTTGGTATGTCTTTCAAGAGATAGATTGTGTTTTCCTTGCCATCAGGAAGAATCGATGTATGATAAAAGTGTAAGAGTTCACTCTTGAAACTTTGCTGTACACTGCTGGACATCTGCACAGAATGGCAGATGCACAAGGCCAAAAGTAGCCAGGATGGCAAGAGATGCAGGGATCTAGACATCATCAAGGTGAGAGGCCTGGGAGATAATAAAAGGTGATTGAATGTGCTTTTTGGCATCTTATCTATTACGGAATTGAAAATATGTTAAATAAAAGACAATAGGACTCCTGTATCTGTGGGGGATCAGTTCCACAATATATTACTGAATTGAAAATATGTTAAAGACAATAGGACTCCTGTATCTGTGGGAGATCAGTTCCACAATCTACTGTGGATGCTTGAAACTGCAGATACAGGGAGCTCTGTACACAACATACGAAGGGGCAGGACAAAGGTCATAAGAGGTTGTCCTTGTGTGTTGTATATAGGGCTGCAGTAAACCACGAATAAGTGAAACTGGATACCAATCCCACAGATATGGGGATTTTACTTTATAAGCAAATGAAAATGGCAAATATACTAGTCTGGCTTTATTTTGCATCTGCTTTCATAACTCTGTCTCATCCTTCTTCCCAGTTAATTTCATTAATGTTAATTGCATATCACTTTCATATTATTAAAATGAATTATAAATGGGGAGAATTTCAGGTGGTAATTGGCCTGCATGAGAAGTCAGCAACTGGCACAATCTGGAACAGTTTTAGCCCTTTGAGAGATGCCACCTGGTCTTCAGCTGGGAAAAAAGGAGAGTAAGATCATATGTTAAGGGGAAAGCATCAATCCTTCTATTTGCGTGTTACCTCCCTAGGCAATGCAAATGCTTCACTAGCAGTGCCTGAAATGTGAGGCATGCAAACAAAGCAGTATTATCTCCTAACTGACCAATTTCAAAACAGAGGCAAGCTAATTTGTCAAATGTGGCTCGAATCAAACTCTTGACAGAATAGAACAAACAGACTTTTCCTCTTAAGGGTGATACAAACTTAGCATCTAGACTAGAGAGGCCCTAAGAGGGAAGTAGATGAGCAAGATATATGTGGCACTGGATCTTGCCAGCAAGCCCTTCTGCATCTGGCTACTCTCCATCCCATCCTGCACACTTTCTTCTTAAAAGGGATCTTGCAACAAAAAATAATTGCTGATCAGTGATCTGCAGTCTCAAGCAAGACTTCTGCAATCTCCTATCTTCATTAAACAACAACAACAATGAAATCCTTTCCATCCTTTTCCATTGTCACACAAGCGCCTTCTTTCTCACATTTCTACGCTGCTATTAAAAGTACAGAAATAGTGCCTTCTTTATCATGGGGCTGCCCTATTGCACACGTGATGATGGGAAAGTTGAATTTGCTAAATCTGGAGAAATATGATCTCCAAAACAGAAGCCCTTCCTTGAGGAAAGAGGCTTGCATCCCATAGAAGAAAGTAGCAATGGCTGCACATTTGTTGCAATAAAAACTGGTTATCTGGAAAGAACATCCCCCCCCCTTAATATAATATGGGAGAGAAAAAGGGGAATACAGGTCAGAGAAGGAAACCTTCCAAGTTTTGAAGCTAGATAGAAGTTGCAGAACAAGGTGCCTGAAGGCAGGGGGTGCTCTTAGAACAGGAGAAAGCCTCCTTAAGCTGGTCTCTTGACAGTAAAGATTAAGGAAGTTGGAAAATGTGTGCAAATAAAAGGAACAGGGGGCATTAATGTGTAAATACAGAAGATCAAGGAATCTTTTTTTTTACTTTGGAGAAATGATGATTTATTTGTATTTTTTCAATGTAACTAAAAAGCCCTCAAGTCATGACTCCCTCCCCCCCTCCCCCGGCTATGTTTGTCTTGGGTCAGTTAACCGCAATTGATCTGAATTCATCATTCTAATCTTTCTTCCTGATGTTTCAAAATAGCCAGCACTTTTCCTCACTGGATAAATATAGGACCACATTCTGCTCTACAGCTTAAGAGAGTTATCCTATTGTCTTCCATTTTTTAAATGCTGCAATAAAATTTAAAACAGATCAATAAATGGATTGTAATGTATACAGACATTTAGTCTAGCAGAAATGTATAATAGCTTGCAAAATGCATTATAGCTTGATCACTTGAATAAAATCCTCTACAGGCACATTCTTGCTATATTTTGAATGGGGGGGCAGTTCTGTTGCTCAAATTGCACCTTACAAACTCATTAAGACTGCTTGGGTTTTTACACAAACATGACCTTCAGGTTTCCTATGCTTGCTATCATTCAAAAGGTGAACAACTACATTCTGTATTAAGTGCAAAAGACAATCAGAAAAAAAGACAGAAAAACAGGCTTGTCCCAAATGGAATACCCCCCTTCCAGTTTTGATTTTTTTAAAAAATTAAATAAAACAACTATAAAGCAAATTTTGGAAATACATTTTGTGGGATGGGGAGGCAGAGGGAGATGCAACACTTTACTGCACTTACCTTGAGAGAGCTGTTACCTGGACAAGTTTCTTTCTGTGCAAGAAATCCAAATGTAAAACTCTTAACTCACACTTTTGGGGCACTTTGCTGGCCGGTGGAAAACACGACTGGAAAACCTTTTTTTTCCCCCAGTGCAGAAATGATTGTTCCATATGTTTCAAGCATAAGGGTAGAATGAAATCTCCTCAGTCTTGCTGGCAGAAAGAGAAAGTTATCTCCTTTTTTCTTTAAGCATGTGCACTTTGAGTATCCTTGGAACACGGGCAGTCCCATTTAAATCATCGTTTTATAGGGGAAACACAACTTTGGCTTTTGACGACAAGATTCCCTCCCTTGTGGAAGGTGTCAGGCAGGCAGGCAGGAGGCAGGCTGAAAAGGAAGACCATGCTCTGCTGCTGCTGCTTAGTCTTTGAGGGAAATGCAAAAGGCTGTCTGTGCAAGAGGTGGAGGGTATATGTCTGTGCTCATTTAACCCTTTTGTAGGAAAATCTGGCCAAGACCTCGGGTATCTCATTGCAGTTATAACAGTTGGTTGTGAAGGGCAGGAACCGACCTTCTGGAATTATTTTTTATTCAGAATTGTATTCAAGCTGACATGTGTCTTTTGGAACCCCCAAATTAGTTGATTTTGATATACAGTATAAATATATCATTGTGAATGCATTATTGGCACTTTAAGCATTTTTCTTTCTTTGCCATTTTATACCTCTAAGTGTAATCTGAAGGTTTGTAGGACACATAGGTTGGAGCATTAAAGGGTGGGGGAGGGGAATAGGCCCAGTGACCCTAAATATGCTGTGAAGGAACTGTATAAAGGAAGAAAGTGAAGGTGAAAGGGCAAGACATTTTAATTATTTAATGTATTTGTTTTCATTCAGTAATATTTTTGACACCTTTTATTTTTTGCCTGAGGGGGGCTGCCTTACTTAAGCTCAGTTCAGCTTTGTTGATGTGCTTCCCACAATGATGACTGTTCTGTCAAGAAAGGGCAATTTACTGGCTCTCAGATGTCTCAAAAGGGCTGCATCTCTTTATGCAGCTCCACATGAGCCTAGGAGATGACTCTGAGGAGTGTGCTGGAAAAACAGGAGGCAATAAATTAAAATGAAAGCAAGACTTTCTGATGAGAACTTAGACAATTTAGTATTGCCACCTCAATTCCTAGTCTTAGGAGAGTTTCTAACTTCTTGTGTTTGACAGAGCAAAGAAATATTTGGTTAGTGTAACATCTGATACTACAACCACTGGTGACTCTGTGTGGGTCAAGCTTGTCCTTGGAACTCACAATTAGTCCTTCTGTTTTTTAAAAAATGCAACAGCAGTGCCTCTTTCCCACAAGTACAAGTATCACTACATGCTACCAAGACTAGCCACCACAATAATAAAAGGTAGGTGGAAGTCAAGGGCTTGACCTCTGCTACAGCCTCCACTATGGCTGAGAGGTAGTATTATGTGCATGTGCTGCGACACTCCCTTGATATTCATGGTTCTAGCATAATGATGATTGTTAGAAGAGGAGTTCTTCCACTTTGTTGTGGCACCTTAACAGCTAGCACATTTATGACAAGCCTACTCACATCTGTATTCGTGAAGGCTTTCATGGCCAGGATCTAATGGTTGTTGTGGGTTTTTCGGGCTCTTTGGCCGTGTTCTGAAGGTTGTTCTTCCTGACGTTTCGCCAGTCTCTGTGGCTGGCATCTTCAGAGGACTGGAGTAGGAACTCTGTCCATGCTCTGTTCCTACTCCAGTCCTCTAAAGATGCTGGCCACAGAGACTGGTGAAACGTCAGGAAGAACAACCTTCAGAACACAGCCAAAGAGCCCAAAAAACCCACAACAACTATTCACATCTCTCCATCCCACCAAAAAACCCACCAACCTTACTAAATGTGAAAGTTTTAAGAATACTGAGTCTGTGTCATCACAGTAAAAAATAGTAGGAATGAAAATATTTCAGTGAGTGATTGTATCATGAATGCTGTTCTGGGGAAGGTCAAGGAAGGAACAAAAATCTGAACCAGCAATCTCTGTGGAGCTACTGACAAAAATCCTGTTGTTTAGTACAGTGGTTCTTAACCTTTGTTACTCAGATGCTTTTGAACTGCAACTCCCAGAAACCCCAGTCAGCACAGCAGGTGGTGAAGGCTTCTGGGAGTTGCAGTCCAAAACTCCTGAGTAACCCAAGGTTAAGAACCAGTGGTTTAGTGCAGTAAATTAACCTAGAACAGGCCCATTGAATCAATGAGGATTTGATGAGTGAACTCCTCCCTAAGTTCCACTGATTCAAATAAACCTACTCTAATTGCAATTTACTGTGCTAAAGTAGGTCACAACTAGAGTAGCTCCATATGAATTAACAGAACTTAGGGAAAAGTTGATTCAACAAATCCCCATTGATCCAATGAGCCTACTCTGGTGTGATTTACACTAAACAGGGTTTTGACTTCACATTGTATAAGAGTTTCCCAATGTCAGTTCTTGCAAGCTCCATTGACCTCCTTGCCTTATTTATAAAATTTCCACCAGTGAATATTTCACAACGGACATTTGACCCTAACTTTGCCAGTCTTTAAATTTCCTGTACAAGACCTAATGGGGCTTTGCTGTCCCAGCAACCAGGAGAAGGAAAGAAGGATTACGATCTTGGACTGATGGAAGATTATGTCTGCAGTCTGCGAAATCATATTTAATAGGGAAATGTTCATGCTTTTGTGATCGACTTTGCTTCTTAAATATTCCTAACACAGCACAGCAGGGGGGGAATGTTGGTTGACCCTTAGCCATTAGGACTGCCCTGATCAAGGACAATAAAAGCAGATTCTTTATACAAATGACCTATTGAAGGACTTCAATGTTTGTTTCCAATTCAGAGAAGAGCCTCCTTCTCAAGCTTGGAGTGGTTTTGACTTCACTTTCAATATGTAACTTGCTCAGTATCATCCCAAAGTTCCTTTTCTTTCCCTTCTTCCTTGCTCTTATGGACACTCCGCCTCTTATATGTCCACCACCGTCCTACCTCATCCTCAGTTCTTTCCGTCATGTACCCGTCATCCTTTTGTCCTTGTCCCATGCTATCTCTCTTGAGCATTCTACTGTGAGTTCTCTCTCCCCTCAGCGTGAAGTACCTTTTTGGACTACAACTCCCAGAATCCCCTAGATTTTAGGAACTGTAGCTCAAACAAGTAATTTTTCCAAACTCATCCTTCTTCACCCATGCATCACCCTGGCCGAGTGCTCCCTCTGCTCATCAAGAGCACATAGGCATAATAAGGAATGTGTGAGTCCCTACCTCGCCTCATAATAGAATTGCAAAAGATCACAGAAAGAGGTCACATTGCTCCATCATCCATGCATCATTTTAACAGAATTATCCTATATTTTGGTTTTTAGTGACAGTGTTATTTCTATACATGCCAAAGGATTAAACTAACACAACTAAAACTAATCCTCCAGCCTTCAATAAACACATGCACTTAAAGATCAGTGCTCAGGCATGACATACACCAGTTCACTACCAACTCATTTCAATTGTTAGTCACAAAAACCGGATTTGGAAAAAAAAGAAAATATACATTGAGTAATCCAGGCTTACCATTATTACTGAGAGAATAAAGGTGTTCAAAACAACTTTGTCTCTCTTAGGGTCCAGCTGAAAGATAAATGAGATAAAATCCTGTTGTGGGTGTAAAGCTACAAAAGAGTCAAAATAGAAGTGCTGTCCACAAAACACTTTTGCCAGTACATTGTGCAATGATGGCAGTGGGAATCATGTGAACGGTGGTGCAGTTGAATCATGTAATTCCCCGTTGCCAATTATGATGCCCAGTTTATACAAAGGTACAACTTTACATTATACTGTACGTGCAAGAACAGGATTTTGCCTGTTCAGTTGCATCCTTTAAACGAGATGGTCGGTGGTTCTCAACTTCTAGTCAGCTTCCAGAATGCTTGATCATAGAGCCTGCTGGCCAGAACAGAGGCTGGAAATAACTACCTGTAACTAAGTTACTTTTTGTGGTAAAAAGCAGTGAAGGAGAATGTTACAAAATGTATTTATTCATATATATCGTTTATATGCTGCGTTACTCCCATAAATAGAGGTTGTGGTGGCTTAAAGAACAGTTTAGAACAGGGTTCTCCAAACTATGGTCCACGGGCCACATCCAGCCTACCTTGCCTTTTTTTCTGGCCTTGCATGCGTGCTCATGTGAGCAGGCAGACATGAGTGAGTGAGTGTGTGTGTGTGTGTGTGTGTGTGTGTGTGGGAGAAGAGAGAGAGAGAGAGAGAGAGAGGGTGTGTGACGGTGTGTGAGGCTGTGTGTGCATGTGAGAGTGCATGGGTGTGTGCAGGCAGGTGGGCATACATGCATGCACGCGCATGTGTGCATTCCTTTGGCCCTTGGAAATGTGGAAAATATATGAGTGGCCCTCAGGGTGAAGTTTGGAGACCCCTCATTTAGAACAATAGATTAGAATACAATAAAATTGCAAACATTAAAATAGCATTAAATTCAGTTAAATAATTAAAATGCAATTAAAATTAAAATTATTTTTAAAAATCTAAAAACAGCAGTACTGTGGTACTTTATTTTACCTCAGTGTGAGGTTTTGTGGACTGCTCTCTATTTCTTCAAACACATGGAGCACTATATCTGGGCCATTTATTTACTGTGTATATATTACAGTATACTGTATATGGTAGTCATTTGAAGGGCACAAGCAGAACAGATAGAATAATCTGGTGGAATATGACATTTACATGAAAGATAAATTGCTCCAGGTCTGAGGAGCCAGGTCAAAGTCAAAACCTTCATACGTCCATGGGACCCTTTCTATGACCTGACAAATGCTAAATCAGAAGATATAATATTTCTTCTTGGCCAGCTCTCCTAGTAGTTCTCAAGTACATCAAACAGCAGCCCATTCTCTCCTGTTTTGTGAACTGCCATGGTGCTATAGATGAGACTAAAATGCTTGGGTCAGCTTGACAAAGCCGCTAAGATAGTGGTTCCCAACCTTGTGTCCCGAGATGTGAAGGCTTCTGGGAGTTGCAGTCCAAAACTCCTGAGTAACCCAAGGTTAAGAACCAGTGCTCTAGATGAGACTAAAATGCTTGGATCAGCTTGACAAAGCCTCTAACATAGTGGTTCCCAACCTTGTGTCCCGAGATGTTCTTAGACTACAACGCCCAGAAATCGTGGCCAGCACAACTAGTGCTAAAGACTTCTGGGCATTGCAGTCCAAGAACATTTGGGGACCTGAGGTTGGGAACCATTCCTCTATGGTGTCTTCCAGTCACAGTAGTTGTATCACTTTGCAGGGAGATGGGCAGAGTTTAGCACTGAGGTGGAGAAAAGAAGAAAAATGCAGTGAGGTCTATGGTGGCAGCATCCTGGTTTGAAGAATTAGTTACGTTAGCATTATAGTATTGCTCTGAATGAAAAAAAATCCTCCATAATTGCAGTGTAGAAAATGGGGAGTATTGAAATGAAGGTGACCGAAAGTGGGGAACAGTGCCAAGTGGCAGAGGAAGGGGGAGGCATGAGAGAAACTGGGAAAAGACAGGAATCAAAGACTAGGAGTTGTATTTGACTGTAGAAATGATAAAAAGTATAATGCTAGGTGAACAAAAATGATTGAAAAGAAAGAGTAATATATGTCATTTCTGGAAGGCTCCCTAAATGTGAGATGCCCGTAGCATTGTATGGGCAAACTAGATGACACAGTTAGCATGTATTTGGAAGTGATACTCCTTCAAGAAGTGAAAGAAATCTGTTTGAAATAACGTGTATTTTTCTCAACTCCAATTCTTCCCTTTGGCCTGCTCTTGCATGGGTCATTGGTCACTGGGCGGTAAATGTGACTTGATTTTGCTGGGCTGGCTGCTGAGGCAAGCATCTCTTGGTAAACCCCTGCTGCTGAAAGAGAAATGAGTTAACTGCAAGAAATTTGCATTCCCTGTAATGTCTAGTTTGATCCTTATTCTAATTAGAAAGGAGTGCTGTAACGCCCATTGTCTCAGTGTCATTTTTGCTGGGCTGGCCCTATCTTAGCAGCAATGTGAGGTGGCCATCTCAAGTAGCAGATTCTGCCAGTGTCATTTTTGCAGGGTTGGCCCTATCTTAGATGAGGTGGCCATCTCAAGTAGCAGATTCTGAGTCTCTTGAAAATAATAAAATTATTTACTTTATTAGTATACTTCTAAAAAAAATTGTGAGGAACACAGACAGGTGCCTATGGAATTTCCTGCCTCATATGCCAAAGTTACCTGTGCTGGCTTGGGATATTGATTTGGGCGGTGGTGATGGGTATTCATTTGCTGTTGCACCTCAACTAGAAAAAATGTCTTGGACCAGCACCTTGTGTTTTCATGATCATGCTATCCTTAATATGTCTCATTCAGCCTTTGCACTTAGATATTCAGGACGGCTTTCCAACTTACCATGAATCTCAGAGATAGACTTTGTGTAGAAGAAAGACAGCATGGTGGTTATTTTAGATGAATTTAAACTTTAAATCTATGAGATCCCCTTTCCAGTTCAAAGACAGTATGTATTACGTACTTCACTTCAAAGCATCCTCATTGCACTTCAGCAGTCAGTTCCTGGTGGTTATTTTAGATGAATTTAAATCTATGACATCCCCTTGCCAGTTCAAAGACAGTATGTATTACTTCACTTCAAAGCATCCTCATTGCACTGAGTTTTGTTGGAGAAGTCCTGGCATTTTCTTTGCAAAGTTCTGACCTGATGTAGCACTAGTGCTTGGGTGCTTTCTAGTCTAAGCATTTTTATTTACAGTATAATCATTTTCTTGGACATTTGGTAGCCCCAGTTGTTTCCTTTTATGATCTCCATAAGGATAATCTGCAGAGGAGAAGTTAAGATTGGTACTCATCCACCCCAACCCCACCCCTTATATTATGTTTTCTTTCCTTTTAGTCTCTGACATATCATCCCTTCCAGACACTGTTCATCATGCTTCCTGACATTTGTGTAGGGAAGGGAGTCCAATACTCTGGAATTCCAGCCAGCCTAAACAAATTCAGGAGCACATATGGGACCAAAATGATTACATTATGAGAATTTCAACCCCATTTGCTGCCTCAGCCTTTTTATGTTAAATGTTAAGAGTTCAGATGCCCAAAGGTGTTATGAATATTTCATACTGCATAGAGGTTAGATGGCTGTTATTCCCTTCTTCCATTTCTATCTATTCTCAAAGGAACCATATAAGCAATAGTGTTTGATTGGAGAAAGGCAATGAATATCTGAGCCTCTCATCTCGCAGATGCTGGTGATTTTCTGCCTATTACAATTGCAAGCCAGGCAATCCTGATTTTTAATATGATAAAAGCAAGGAAACCATAACGTCTGTTCTGTAATCTCATGGCTACAAAAGGTTTAAGGATAGAAGGGTTTTGAGCAACATCACTTCTCGGGGTTGGGGGGGAGGGAACAACACAGCCAATCTCCTCTTGCCCTCGTTATGCAAACACCGAGGAGTACGAAAATAGACAAACTACAGTCAGATTTCTTGTCCCAGTCTCAGGGCCTGTAATCCACTTTTTCTGTGGAGGCTCTCCAATTTCTTGTTTTGTATTAAATGGCAGTACTATCCCCATATTATTAGCAAAAACGAAGAGTGCTGAAACAAACATCACAGTTAAATTCATATCTGCAGGTTATTTAAACCATTGGTCCCCAACCTTGGGCCTCCAGATGTTCTTGGATTTCAACTCCCAGAAATCTTGGCCAGCAGAGGTGGTGGTGAAGGCTTCTGGGAATTGTAGTTCAAGAATATCTGGAGGCCCAAGGTTGGGGACCACTGATTTAAAGACTTAGGCTCAAGCTATCTGAAAAGCTGCATCTCCATACATGAGTCTGTCCAGATGTTAAGATAATCAGGGAAGGCCTTTCTCTCAGTCCTACCATCCTCAAAGGCGTGTTTGGGTGAGGACACAGGAGAGGGCCTTTCCTGTCTCCGTTCCCAAGATGTGGAGGTCCATCCCATAGGAGGTCAAGCTGGCCCCCTCTTTGCTATCCTTCCCCAACAAAGACCTTTAATGTTCAGGCAAGGCCGTTCTCCCATAACTGGCTGCCTGTGAGGGGGGCTTTTTAAAGAAGGGTTTGCACGTCATTTTATCTTATTAATATATATGTTTAAAATGTTTTAATCTGCTTTTAATATGATAACTAGTTTAATTGCTTTTTAGTATTGTAATAGTTATGGTATTTTTAGCTTTTAATATTATCTGATTTTAATGGATTTGCTGTTTTTTTTTTTCACTTTTTAATGTGAATCAGAGTGGGAGAGGAATGGCTAAGGACAAATTCTGGAGAAAGAAGTGGGAGACTGTTACTCCAATATCTGCTCTCTACAGTAGTCACACCATTCTGTCTAATGGTACGGCTGGCCCTGACTATCTATAACAACAACAACAACAACAGTAATAGTAGTAGTAATAGTAATAGAAATAGAAATAGAAATAGAACTGCAAAGCTGGAAGGGACCCTATGGATCATAGAGTCCAGCCCCTGTCAAGGAGGCACAGTGGGGAGAACTCCCAACCTCTGCTCTACAGCAAGATACCTAAACCATTGAGCTATCTAGCAGTTTTATTAAGTCCTTTGTGAAATTAGAGAACTG